GCAGGAACTCAAGCCTGCTTCCAATCCTCTGCCACCTTCTTATGACCCCAGGCCACTCTGAGATTTCACCCAAATTCCTAAAGCCCCTCCCTCACAGGCCCCAGTGTCCCCCAGGTCCCTATCCCAGACCCAAAACCTATTCCCATTCCCATTCCCCATTTCGTGTCACTCCAGGACTCTAAACCAAATCTGGGGTTCACCTTCTACCCCCAAAACATCCCCCTGCAGCCCGCCATGGTCACACTCCACAATCCCAGTCCCATGTCCCTCCCACAAGTATCCCCAGTGTCCCCCCAGCCCCTGATACCGAAATTGGCTGGAGTGAACTCCCTGATGGAAATGGAGATATCAGAAAGCCGGAATTCTTTATGACCTCGAACTCAGATCAGATCTGGTCCTGGTCCTGCAGCTCAGGTGGGGACTTTGCCATGGGGTATTTATCCATCCTAATTATAAATATTCATTAGAAGGGGCTTCTTAACTAATGCAGATACATCACTTTCTCTGGAAATAATTTGCATGGTTTTGCCTCTTTGTGGAAGTCCTTTTATGGTACTGGATGGTCACCCAAAGGGGTTTCTGGGTGTGGTTTTCACTGAGTGCCCCAATATGCCAGATGACCTTTCCTGCAACTTCTGCTTTTTGCAGGCACTGCTCCTTCTTTGGTCCAGTACTTGAATAAAATCCTTATTGGAGTTTCTTTNACAGTGGGTTGTCCCTGTCCCCCATGCCCAGTGAGTGTCATTGTTCCCTGTGCCTTATCATGGGTGCCCCCATGCCCACAGTGGGTGTCCCCATCCCTCCAGGTTGTCCCCTGTGCTGTCACCTCACTGACCTCACAGTTGTATTTGCTGAAGATCCCGGCAGAGCGGAGCCAGATCCATGTCCTTCTCCCATCCCAGATGACTTGGGTGACTGTGAAGGTCTCATATGGTGGGATCAGCACCTCCTCCTCATCTGGATACATGGAGAACTGACGGATGTCCGCACCATGGCATGTGTGCACTTCGAAAATTGTGTCTGCCCCAAATTCCAGAGCAATCCCTTTGCTCAGTGATGTCGATGTGAATTGACCGAACCGGACCCTCTTGCCTTGCTGTGCCTGAAAATGAACATCATGCACACCCCGGAACACACGGCGACACTGCCAGTTCTGAGCCTGCCTCAGTGTCACCAAGGCATCAGTCAGTAGGAAATGCAACATTTTGAAGTGGAAGTGCTTCAGGTATTCCTGGCGGGAGTGCCCAGCCGTGCGCACGGCCGTGTTGAACTCCTTGTACACCTCTGGCGATGTGTAGGCCATGAGAGCAATGGCATGCCAGTTGGACGGCAGAGGGGACACAAGGGAGCCCCGCCTGCGCCACTCAGCTTCAGCCTTATACCAGCCCCAGGCAAAGAGATGATTCATCTGGCGCTCAAAGCTGTAGAGGTCAGGCAACATTGCGTGCATGGCTGGGTCACAGCCCTCATACCGGTCATCGAACGAGTCCCGGGCCATGTCCAGGGGCACCACCTTGATGGCCACGGTGGCCACAGCCATTGCCAGCAGTGTCAGAGTGTGAGCCAGGAGGGCCATGGTAGGGACGGGCCACCACGAGCAGTGTGGGACACTGGAGGACAAAGAGGGACACACTGAGGGGACACTTAGGACACAAAGTAACACATGGAAAAAGTTCATCTATGAGGTGCCAAGGAGGGGAACTGGGATCAGCTGAGAAACAGGGGGTCAGCTTTGGCTAGAAGACCCCTGGAAACATCCTGGGATGCTGCTCACAAATCCTGGAGTCATTCCTGGATTCCCCTCAAGA